AGTGAAATTGTGAAGTATGTGTGCAAGACGGCGACACTGGAAAAGAAAGTTTAATTTGAAAAGAAACAAACTAAAGAACAAACCAGTGCCTATATGTATGTGTGTATGTTGGTTTTATTTTCGTTCTAATATAAGAATTTTAAAAAAGGAGCGGTATGTATGCATGTGAAACATGATGATGACTGGATGGCCAATCACAGGAAATGGGAATATAATACGTACTGTATGAGTGCAGCCATTATAGCCTACATTTTGAGACTTCCGAACTTTTAATCTCTTTTGTACTGCGTACAAAGTCGCCCAGTCTACAAGGACATCAATATGTTTCAGGGTTTCCAGACAGCAACATTTGTTCGCAACAACAAAAATAGTTCGCATTCCTTTACGTATTGCGATACATTTTTTAAAAAACACACTGAACGTTGGCGCTTGATAACTCTTACTTGTCAAACACTGTAAGTGACTTAATAGTTATAAAAACTGACCCTAAAAACCATGCTGGGAAAACCTCTAAAAAAGGAAATAATTATTTACCGCGTATTGTGTTAACACATGGTTTAATCCCACAGAAGAATAATCCCATGCAAATGTTTTAGAAATGTGTGCATACACAGCCCTAGCCCCCAGTGGCCTTTTCAGACTTAGGGGATTAACTTTGCTGAATCCCGTGGTGCGTTTTAATAGGGTAATAGAGGGAGGCAGAATGGCATGATGTTAGATCACCTTCCATTCCCGCCCCTTCCCCTTCTCACTCTCTCTCTCTCTCTTTGTCTTTCTCTCTCTCTCTCTCTCTCTCTCTCTCTCTCTCTCTCTCTCTCTCTCTCTCTCTCTCTCTCTCTCTCTCTCTTTCTTCCTCCCTTTCTCCTCCCCCTTCTCTCCCTCCCTCTCTCTCTCTCTATCTCTTTATCTCTCTCTCCTCTCTCGCTATTGTCTCTCACTTTGCCCCCCTCTCTCTTTCTGCCCCCTCTCTCGTTCTCTCTTTCTCTCTCTCTCTTTCTCTTTCTCTTTCTGTCTGTCTGTCTGTCTGTCTGTCTGTCTGTCTCTCTCTCTCTCTCTCTCTCTCTCTCTCTCTCTCTCTCTCTCTCTCTCTCTCTCTCTCTGTCTATCTCTATCTATCTATCTATCTATCTATCTATCTATCTATCTATCTATCTATCTATCTATCTATCTATCTATCTATCTATCTATCTATCTATCTATCTATCTATCTATCCATCTATCCATCTATCTATCTATCTATCTATCTATCTCTCTTTCTTACGCAGCTTCATTTTTCTTCAGCCAAGCTTTTACATGAGTAAAATGAATAAGAGCAAACAGCAAAATGGGCTCAGTTTCAGAGATTTTTCTGCGAACGTGTTATTGCAGCTGCTGCAACAGCGGTTTGTTGACACCTCGGCGTCTTTAATCAAAAGCTCGAAACAAATTATGAAAGCTATGAAAATATTTCGGATATGGTCTCTTTATTCTAAATTCTTTAAACGTTCTGGTTCAAATTAGAAACAGGCACCACAATTTGCAAGAATTCTTTTTAGACGAAATTGGTAGTTTTAGAAGAAACCAATGGTTTTTAATCCAAAGACTGTTCACTAGCCTGATTTTGCTATTAGTTTTGTTAAAAGAAATTGTGTTTGGGGGGGGGGGGGTTGAAAAAGAAACGATAAATTGCTTCCTCTCGTGTCTGAACTCCAAAGGTCTTTGACTCACACAGGCTCTGTTTGACAATATATGTATATTTGTGCTCTTTCGAGCTATCGAGAAAGTTGTTGAGCACTGACTCAGTTGTTATCTTGTGGAACTGACCCGCGGACGATCCTGATCGAATTCATAAATGAGCATTTTTCATCCCGAGTTGTCTGGACTCCCGCTTACCCCAGTCCTACTAAAACGCATAGCTTTAAATGTTTATTAGATAACCGTACTGTTTTGAAAGGCGCAAGAAATCCTGATATCATCTTACGAAACGAACAATCGAGAAACGTTTATGTTGTGTTTCTTTTCAGGCAAAAAGGCAAAGAACCATGTTGGGGGGAGGGCATTGTTTGTTTGGGG